ACCCGGCCCGGGAGACACCCCCCCCCGCCTCCCCCTCCTCCACACTCCCCCTCCCCAGCACACACACACAAGCACCACCAGCCAAGCCTGCCCCACGGGGGGGGGGGACCTCCAACAGGGGGCTGCCGCAAAGACATAATACCTCCTTCCCATCCCGACTCCCTGCGGCTGCCAACAACACACAAGCCCTCGCGACTTCCCACGACCCACCGACGTCTTCGCACAGTCCTTCTCCCTTCACCCCCTGCCCCATCTCTCCACCTCCCTCCCTCCCTGTGACAGTCATCAAAAGGGCCCCCACCCCACCCCGTGGCCACAAGGCCTCTGCCTGAATCACCTAGTCTAATATCTTTGGCATCCCCTCCTCCTCCACCTGCTCCACTCTCCCCTCACCCACCACCACCCCGCTAGCCCCCCACCACAGTACTAGTCTGGAGAGGCCCAAGTCCAACAGCAGCTGCCCCTCCCTCAGGCTGAGCTGGGGGTACGGCTGGTGCTGGCGGGGGGAGTAGTTGTGCTTGCGGGCCTGGTAGTGCTCTTGGCCCTGTCCGCGCCTGCCCCGCTGCCCACCTTCCAGGGAGTTGCGCCGGGCTGGGCGGGCCGCACGTTTCTGCTGGGGCTGGGCGCCGCCTTGGTGGGCGGGCTTGGGGCTCGGGGCCTGGGAGGCTTCTGTGCCGCCAGCCCCCGGCTCCTTCTCCCCACTGCTGCCCCCCACCATGAAGCCAGAGTTGGGCCCCCAGGAGTAGCGGTGCTGGGGGTTGCTCTTGAAGGGGAAGCGCAGCTTGCAGTCCTGGGGGGGGATGAACTTGCCGGGGGCGGTGCGGTGGGGCTGGCTGCGGCGCAGGGACTGGCTGAGCTGCTGCTGCTGCAGGTTCTGGAGCCGGGCCTGCTCCTGCCGGAGCCAGCGGAGGCGCCCGCGCCGGAAGGCAGGGTCCTTCTCCATCAGGCGGGTGACCCGCTCGTAGCAGGAGGCCTCCTCCGCCTCCCCCTGGCCCTCTGGCTGCTCCTTGGCCTCCTGGTCCACCGCTGCCAGGCCTTCCGCAAGCAGCAAGGAGCCCCACTCGTTCTCCAGGTCTTCGTCCTCCTGCAGCGAAGGGGGGGGGGAGAGGCACACGCATGAGCGCACGCGGCACACACTCCCCGCACACAGCATCGCCAGGCCGAAGTCTGCATCCCGTCAGGCACCTTGAAGGCCAACCAAGTTGAATTCTGCACGCACCCAAAAGCTTCTGCCCAGAATTAAACTCTGCTGGTCTTCAAGGTGCCCGACGGGACTCAGACTTCGGGTCTGCTGCTGCTTCAGACCCACACGGCCACTCGGCTGAGTCTAGCTTCACGGGAGGCACCCCATTGAGCCACATGGAGTGGAGGAAGAAGTGTGCCTCCACACACAAGTTTACACCCAGAATTTAACTCGGCTGGTCTTCAAGGTGCCTGGCGGGACTCACAGACTCTGTCCTGTTGCTTCAGGCCAACCCCCCTGACTGAATCAGGCCCTCCGTCCCGTCACGGTCAGCCCTGTCCACTCTGCCTGGCAGGGGCTCTCCAGGCAGAGAGAGGTCTTTCCCGTCCCCCACTCCTGCCCTGCAGACCTTCTCACTGGGCATGTCGGGGACCGAACCTGGGACCTTCTTCCCCAGTGAGTCTCAGCCCCTTCCCGAGCAGCATCCACCGCCTAGCAGCCTGTTCTAGCCCCCCTTTTGCGGCCTGCGTTTGCTTCTGATATTCTGCGGAAGGGGCCCCTTCCCACAAAAGCCAGGTCTGAGTTCTGCCCCCGAGGCAGTAAGGCTGGTTGGACAATACCCCCTCTGAAAGCAGCCCACCCCACCCCACCCCACGGGCGTGTTGTCAGCCACAGAGTTCCCTCGCTCTTGCTGCAGGGATGTGGGAGGCCTGGTGGCAGGAACCGGGCAGAGGGGGGAGCGGGTCCCTCGCAGTTTGGGGTGGGGCCATGTCTGGCACCCCCAGAGACCCAGGAGGCGGGCTCAGGGCCCCCGACACAACCTGCTCCTCTGGGGACTTGGCAGTGCTTCCTCTCCTCCACCCCCGCCTGCAAGGCCAGTTTGGGGAGGAGTAGAAACCACAAGCGACTCCTGGGTGCTCGGGATCGTGGAAGCGCAGAGGGTGGGAAGCCACGTGGCCTCTGCTCTGCCACCCCAAGAATGCTGCAGGCCTCTGCGGGAGACTCTCTCCATCCTGCCAGGTTTGGAAGCGGCCCCGGCTCGCCCAGGGGCAGGGGAGGGCAAACCCCCCTCGGGGGCTGCCGTAAGTCATCTGGGACCTGGGGCCACGTCCCACCGCCAGCCGCCAAGTCTGAAGCCACGGCATGCGCATGAGGGAAGGGCGCCTGGAGCCGCTCACCTGGGCAGAAATGGGGATGACCCGCTCCATCTTGACCACCCGGTCCCGGAGAGAGCGGATCTCCTCATCCTTCATGTTGTTCTGTATTTTCACCTCCTGGAGGATATCGGTCAACTTGTCGATGTGGGCCCGGAGGTCGTCGACGTCCGTGCCGGGGTTGCCGGCTCGGCCCTCGGAGGTCCCCCCGCCAGGGCCGCCGCTGCCCGCGGTGCCATCCGCCTCGCCCACCCCGACAGTGTCCCACACGTCCCGGGCCACGGCCCGCCAGCTGTCCCGCTCGTTGGGGTCGCGCTTCCCGTAGAGGCGGCACAGCTCCTTCATCTTGACGATGCTCATGGCCTCGATCTCCTGGCGGGAGTGGCGGAAGTCGTTGAGGGCCACCTCGTAGCAGATCTCCTTGACGGCCTGCATCTTGAGGTCGGCCAGCGTCAGCCAGCGGGGGTCCTTGGCAACCCGGCGGCGCTGCGGGATCTGGTACACGCGCAACGGCTCCCGCTTCTTGCCGGAGCTCGGCAAGCCGCACCGGCGCACGATGGTTTGCACTTTGGTGGCCGGGAGCTTCTCCCTCAGGGAGGAAATGAGGCGCCAGCTCTCCTCGCACGAGCGCTTGTCCGAGTCATCACCACTGTCCGAGTCTGCGTACTGCCGGGGGGGGGGAGGGCAGGGCTGGAGTGAGGGCAGGTTCCCTCCACGCCACAGCCGCACCGAGAGCCAGACCCCGCCCCTGGGTCCCACCCACCGGTCTTCCAAGGGCCTTGAGTGGAGGGCAGGGGTTCAGGGGTCCCCGACCTGGTGCCCGTGGGCGCCATGGCAACCACAAGTGCCTTTACTGGTTCCCCCCCCCCCAAGTGTTTTTAGAAAGTGGATGGGCTCAGCACAGCTCCTGATTGGCCACTGGAGGTGTGAAGGACTGGCTGTCCTGACTGTTTCTTCTTGGTGAGCACAGTGCGTACACTTGTGCGTGTGCCAAACGTATTTTTCACCCATGCGCTACGATCAGAGTTGTGCGGAGCCTCACTCCCTCCCTGTCCTTTTGCGGCTGGCCCTGCCCCTCCTGCAACGGCCCTTGTGTGGCTGTGTCAGATTTCCAAAGGTCCCTGCTGGCTCCAGGAGTCCGGGGCTCCCTGCGCTGGACAGACCACTGGTGTGATCCTGCATGGCCGTGCTTCTGCGCCCACACCCACGTGGAGCGGGAGTGCCGGAATGCCAGCTGGAAGGAGTCACTTGGCTCCTCTGAGGGGCACCCTGAAAGCTGGCCCCTCCCTGGGAAACAGGGACCCTGTGTACCCCCCACCCCCTCCCCTTACCAGTCTTTGCTGCTCCAGAAGAAGGTCGGCCTCCTCCTTCTCCCGCCGGTACTGGCTCTCCAGGTCCTGGAGTCTGGGGGTGGGGGGGGGGAGAGGAAAGGAAGAGTCACAGGAAGGCCAAGCAGGCCTCGGCACCATGGCCCTCTGCCTGGCAGGAACCAGCCCTGGGGGGGCGGGGCCCCCCTGAAGAACAGCCTCCGGCAGAACTCCTGCCCCAGGAGGGGGTGAGACAGGGGCTGTCCCTACGCCTCGTCCTCCAGGCCCCACTTCTTCCTCCGGTGGCCTCCCAGCCGGACTGAAGTGGGGGTGGGTGGGGAGGCCGACGTGTTTTATTGGTGGCTCGTTCTAGATGGATGTGGTGGCTTTTACTGGGCTCTGTTGAGGGTGGGAAGGCAGCCTAAAAGCTCCCCAAAGCAAAGAAATACCAGCAAAGTGCCTTTATTAATTTATACACCCCGTCTTACTCCCCCCCCACACGGGGACCCAAGGGGGCTGGGCATCGTTCTCCTCCCCTCCAGTTCACCCTCACAACAACCGCCCCCCCCCTGCGAGGTGGGCGAGGCGAAGAGGGGGTGACTGGTCCGAGGTCACCCAGCAGGCTCCCAGGGCAGAATGGGGATCTGAACCCAGGTCTCCCAGGCCCCAGTCCGACGCTCTGACCACGGCACCACCCTGGCCCCTTGTGGTTCCCAGGCCGAATGCGGGATGAAGAAGCTGCGAGAACACACAGGCAGAGCCCAGCTGAAGGGGCCTACGGGGTGGAAGGGAAAGCGGCGGAAAGAGACAATTGTGCCGCCTCCCTTGCTCCCGCCCGCCAGCTCGCCACCAGCCCCGTTATTCAAACTGGTTCAACAACTGACCACCCCCAAAAGGGACACTGATGGGCTCTCTGCTGCGATTCATTTGCAAACTCCTTTGCGGATAAAGTCTCTAAGCTCCGCCTGGAGTTGGCTGCTGGAGTTGGCTGGAGTTGGTGGACGGGAGATCCACCGGCACCGCCTGGTCCTTTTCTGGGTTCTCCCGGCCTGCTCCCCTTGTGAACGTTGACAGGATCCTGACAGCTGTGGCGCCAACGACCTAGTCCTTGGATCCTTGTCCCTCGTGGCTGATAAAATCACACCATGAAGAGGTATTGGTTTGTCTCTCTCGCGGGGCTGCTTCCCCAGCTCCCCGAAGGAGGCAACTGTTCGACCCTTGCTAGAGAAACCCTCCTTAGATAAAAAAAAAGGAGCTGGCCAATTTCCGCCCAGTGTCTAATCTATCTTTTCTGGGGAGAGTAAGGAGCGAGCAGGGGCTGAGCAGCGCCAGGTTTTCCTGGATGAGACATCTGCCCCGGCCCCTCTTCCGTCGGGCTTCAAGACCAAGACAGCACCGGTCGCTTTGGCGGACGATCTCCGTTTCCATCTGGATAAAGGCATGCTGGCCCTGCCGATCCTTCTGGATCTCTCAGCGGCCTTCGATACAGCTGACCACCCGGTCCTGATCGATCGCCTTGCCTCCGTGGGGGCCCACCGTTGGTTCTCCTCGTCCCTCCAGGGACAGTCTCAGAGGGTTGTTATCGGGGAGGAGAGGTCTCCCTGACAAGACCTGAATTGTGGGGTCCCACGAGGTTCGATCCTCTCTCCGATGATACTTAACATATCATCTGCTGATGACAGCCGGCTCTCGGCACCACCCCAGTGCCTGGATGAGGCAGTCCAATGGCTAAGGGGGAGCTGGCTGAAGTTGGATCCATCCGAGATGCCAGCCGGAGGGCCACTGGCGAGACTCAATGGTGTCCAGTTGACAGCAGTAGACTCTGTAAAGAGCCTCTGGGGTGGGGTTGGATGCTGCACTATCACTGGATAGGCAAGTGTCTGTGCTAGCGTGGTTGGCAGCTCTTCACCTACGCCAGGCCCGCCAGCCGGCTCCGTACACGTCTGAGTCAGACTGTGCCACAGTAATCCATGCAACAATCCCCTCCAGAATGGACTGCTGCTGGGATTTGCTCTACGTAGGGCTGCCCTTGAAAACGCATCGGAAACTGCAGGGGGTCCAGAATGCAGCTGCCAGGTTGCTGACTGGAACTTTAAGGTCAGCTCATATGACTCCGATTCCGTGGCAGCTGCACTGGCTACCCATTAGTCTCCGGATCCAATTCAAAGTGTCGGTGGTAACCTTCAAAGCCCTCCGTGGTCTGGGACCCTCATACCTACGGGGCCACTCCTCCCGTTACAATCCCCCCCAGCCATTGTCCAGGGACCTCCTGCAGGGTGTGCCACCAAGGGAAGCCGTACCCCCCCGTCCCCCCGCTGGACTTGGTCAGTTTCCGCAGGGCACGCAAGGCTAAACTGCTTAGGTTGGCCTTTGGAGGATAACCCTGTGTTTGGGCTGTTTCAACAGTAGTGCGGTGTTTTTATGTTGTTTTTTACTTTATTGATTTTAATGCCATAAGTTGCCACGAGACCCTTTGGGTGAGTGGTGACTAAAAAAAAAAATCTAACAAATAAGCAAAAACCCTGAGCCAGGCCATTCCCCCCTCCGCATTCCATGTGACCATCTCGTGAGTGGGACCACAGAGGGCAAAGCCGCTGCCCGGTCCTGCTGCTTGGAGGGCCTGTCTCCTGGCAGCTGTTGTGCTGCCCCACACGCGCACACACGCACAGGCACAGGCGCACACACCTCTTCTCCATCTCCAGCTTGATGTCGATGCCCTGTTTCTCCAGCAGCTCCCGCTGGGCGAAGTTCCAGTCCACGGGCTCCAGCGGGCTCTCCAGCGGGGGGTTCCGCTCCCTCTCCATCCGCGCCTGCTCCGGGTGGTTGAAGCGGAAGACGTGGTTCTTGCCCATCACAATCCGGTTCCCTGGAGGCGGAGAGGCCATATATGCTCGGAGGGGCCCAGGGCAGAACCTCCACTGTGTGTGGCTCCGTCCCCGCGCAGGGGAGGGGCAGAGAGGCCAGTGGGCCGGGGCCAGCCCAGAGGGGGCTGTCCCACACGTCACGCCAGCATGGCGGGAGAGGACCCCACGGGGGCGCGGTCACACAGGCTCCAGAGAAGTGTGCCAAGACCCTCGAGGCCGTCCCCCTCCACCCCATCCCACGTCCTGCCACCTGTGGGGCTGCCTCACGCTGTCCCTTGGCAGAACTGGCGGGTCAGAAAACCTGGGGGCTTTCCCAAGGAGCACCGGAGAGCCTTCCTTTGGCACGGCTCAGACCCTGGACAGCAAACCGTGGCCCTGTGTCCCAACTCCAGGCAACCCAATCTGGGGGGGGGGGAATGGCTCCCGCCCAGCGCCATGCCCCCTACCTGATCTCAGCACCAGCGACTCCGTCACCTGCTTCCCGTTGACATAGGTCTCCGCGCCCTCACATGGCTCCAGCGTGACAACAACTGAAAGGGGAGAGGGCCGGAGATCAACACCACCTCTCTCTGGAAGGCCTCCGGGTACCAGAAGCACGTGCGTCCACTTGGCCTTTGCCCTATTGGCTAATGACCCCAGGCCCGCCCCCATGCCGTAGAGAACTGGAAGCAGGACCCCAACGCCCTACCGAGACCCACTGGCCACCTGATACCTGCTGGCGCACTCCCCAGCCGTCACGCCCCTCTGCTCCACGCAAGCACAAGAGACGGGAGAGGAAATGCCATTATTCCAGAGCCACCACCGGAGGTATTCAGACTCTGACCCTCCCCTCCCCTCCCACCCCGCCCACCTTCTCCAGACTCCGTGGTGCTGCTGCAGAAGAGGCAGTGCTGCTCCTTAATGAACTGCCCGGTCAGCTTGATGTCCACGTTCTCCTGGCCGACTCTGCAGTAGGGAAGAAAAAGGCTCCAGGTGGGGGCCCAGCCGCAAGGGGGAGGGGAGAGCAAGCAAGGGGGCAGTCGGGGGGGGGGCTCGCATCCTCATCAGCCCGCCCAGCCCAGCCCAGCCCAGCCATTCTCACCGGGTGACGCCATCCTTGATGTGGTAAAGGAGGCACTCAGACATCAGGGGATCCTCATTCAAGTTAACCAGGTGTGGAGTCTGCACAAGACACGGGAACAAGGTGGAAGCAGGCCAATCTCTACAGGTGACCCATTTTCGTGTGTGTGTGTGTGTTTTTGGCCAATTCTCTATTTGTACAAATGATGAACTCAACAACATTATGATCACTGTTTCCAAGCGGTGCAATCACTTTTACATCTCTCACCAATCTCTACAGGTGACCCATTTTCATGTGTGTGTGTGTGTGTGTGTTCACCTCCCCCCCCCGATCTCTTCTAACCACAGTGCTGGAACACCTGGGAAGCCACCGTGCCACAGGGGGGCCCCCACCCCAAAGACACACCTGAAAGGTCTTGGGGACTGCAAAGGGGCAGCTGCATCAGGCAGCCGTAGCAAAGCCAACATCCAGCGGGGCGGCTCCAAGACGGACGGCATCTATTTCCAGGCAAGCTTTCGTGAATCTTGAGCAGGAGCAAGCTGTGACCCACAAAAGCTCCTCTGGAAATAGATGCTGGTCTTTAGGGTGTTCCTGGACCTTGGCTTCATCTTGGACAAACTGACCTTTTTCAAAAGGCTGCCAAATTTTACATCATCTCTCACTCTGCCGGGGCCATCCTGGAGCGCCCGAGATGAAGGAGGAGCCCTTTAGCCCCGTCAGAGCCTCGGGAAAGCAGCTGCAGCTGGCCACCCGGGTGTGTCCCCCCCCCCCGCCAGGGGTGCCTACCTTCTTGGGGGAGAAGACTCCCACGGTGCCCCCATCCTCCCGGAGAGCCACGCCCATTTCCGCCAGGAGCGCCTCCCTGCAGGAAGGACAAGAGCTCTCAGCCCCACGGGCAGGCCTCAGAGGGAAGACTCAGAGGAAAGCCCCCCCCCGAGAGCGGACCCCTGCGGTACCCCACTGCTTACCACCCTCCACTGAGAAAATTGCCCACCTACACTCACTCTCTGTTTTCTATGAACTAGCCAGTTTTTGATCCATAAAAGGACTTGTCCTTCTATCCCATGATTTTTGAGCTTACTTAGGAGCCTTTGATGAGGAACTTTATCAAAAGCTTTCTGGAAGTCAAGGTAAATAATATCTATTGGATCCCCCTTGTCCACATGTTTGTTCACCCCCTCAAAGAACACTAACAGGTTAGTGAGACAAGATCTTCCCTTACAGAAACCGTGCTGAGTCTGCCTCAATAGGTTTTGTTCATCTATGTGCCTACTAATTCTTTCCTTAATAATGGTTTCCACCAATTTACCCGGTATCGACGTCAGACTGACTGGCCTGTAATTTCCCGGATCTCCTCTGGAACCCTTTTTAAAGATGGGAGTGACATTAGCTACCTTCCAATCCTCAGGAATGGAGGCAGATTTTAAGGAAAGATTACATATCTTTGTCAGGAGATCTACAAGTTCACATTTGAGTTCTTTCAGAACTCTCGGATGTATGCCATCTGGGCCTGGTGATTTTTCAGTTTTTAAGTTGTCTATCAGTTTTAGGACCTCCTCTCTCGTCACCTCAATCTGACTCAGGTCTTTCAACACCCCTCCTGAAATCAGTGGTTCTGGAGTGGGCAAGCACTTCTCATCTTCCACAGTGAAGACGGAGGCAAAAAATGCATTTAGCTTCTCAGCCATTTCCCTATCATCCTTCAATACTCCTTTTACCCCTTGGTCGTCCAAGGGCCCCACTGCCTCCCTGGCTGGTTTCCTGTTTCTAATGTATTTGAAGAAAGTTTTATTGTTGGTTTTTACGTTTTTTGCTATATGCTCCTCATATTCCCTTTTTGCCTGCCTGACCTCAGACTTGCATTTTATTTGCCATAGCCTGTGTTCCGTTTTATCAGCCTCACTGTGACTAGCTTTCCACTGCTTAAAGGAATTCTTTTTACTTTTTACAGCCTCTATTACTCTGTTTGTTAACCATGCAGGCTTTTTCCTATACCTTTTTGTGCCTTTCCTAAACTGCGGAATATATATTTTTTGAGCTTCTAGGATCGTAGTTTTAAATAGATCCCAAGCTTCCCCAATTGTTTTGACCCTTTCTACTTTTCCTTTCAGTTTCCTCCCCACGTGTCCCCTCATATCAGAGAAATTACCCCTTTTAAAGTTTAAAATGGTTGTGTGAGTCTTTTTGGCCAATTCTCTATTTGTACAAATGATGAACTCAACAACATTATGATCACTGTTTCCAAGCGGTGCAATCACTTTTACATCTCTCACCAATCTCTACAGGTGACCCATTTTCATGTGTGTGTGTGTGTGTGTGTTCACCTCCCCCCCCCGATCTCTTCTAACCACAGTGCTGGAACACCTGGGAAGCCACCGTGCCATGGGGGCTCCCACCCCAAAGACACACCTGAAAGGTCTTGGGGACTGCAAAGGGGCAGCTGCATCAGGCATCTATTTCCAGGCAAGCTTTCGTGAATCTTGAGAAGCGAGCCGTGACCCACAAAAGCTCCTCTGGAAATAGATACTGGTCTTTAGGGTGTTCCTGGACCTTGGCTTCATCTTGGACAAACTGACCTTTTTCAAAAGGCTGCCAAATTTTACATCATCTCTCACTCTGCCGGGGCCATCCTGGAGCGCCCGAGATGAAGGAGGAGCCCTTTAGCCCCGTCAGAGCCTCGGGAAAGCAGCTGCAGCTGGCCACCCGGGTGCGCCTCCCCCCCCCCGCCAGGGGTGCCTACCTTCTTGGGGGAGAAGACTCCCACGGTGCCCCCATCCTCCCGGAGAGCCACGCCCATTTCCGCCAGGAGCGCCTCCCTGCAGGAAGGACAAGAGCTCTCAGCCCCACGGGCAGGCCTCAGAGGGAAGACTCAGAGGAAAGCCCCCCCCCGAGAGCGGACTTGGGCAGCCTCAGGTCTCTTCCTCTACAAACCAAGCGCCCACCCACGCTCCACATGTTGCAACAAGACGTCTGCCTCTCCTGCCTGGGGGTGCGAAGGCCACGGCCACAGGCGGGAGCCAGAGAAGGCAAGTTCTTCTCAGCCACCTTCAGGCCTGGTGCTTTCAAGAAGCAGGCACGTTCTCGGCTTAGGCATCCACACGCACGCACATGCAAAAGGAATGCCCCAGCAGGTGTGGCAGGGACCACCACAGCACCCACCGCTCCATCCGGATCGCCTCCGTCTTGCGCAGTTTCTCCTCCCACGTTTCGTTGAGCTCAGCGATGATCTTCTCAGTCTCCTACAAGAGCAAGGGGTGACCCGGGAGGGATTCATCTTGGGTCCATTTTTTTTTTCCCCCCCCCCCCCCCCCGTTCACCACCAGGGCCTTTCACCCACAGATAAAATCAGTTCCAAGGAGGAGGAAAGGTGTGCATTCCGCTCTATCCGAGCTGAAAAAATAGCCAGAAAATACCTTATTGGTATTTATCGGCTATTCTTTCAGTCGGATATAGAAGGGGGTGTATTTTTGGCTATCGAGCAGAGCCAATCCTGGATAATCCCGAAAAAAACAGGATAGCCACAGTTAAAAGGTGTTTAAAGAGAGTGCACTCCCTTTAAATGACGTTCCAGGTGAAGCTGCAGCTTCACGAATGCATTTAAAGGGACCGTGACACCTTTAAATGCCTTCAGCTCCATAATAGCCCATGGGGACCATTAGAGTCAATGATCCCCATAGGCTATAATGGGGAATCTATCCAGGGGTATGCAGGGTTTGTTTTTTGAGAGAACCACCACATTTTCAACGTAGCTTATTGTGCCTCTCCTCAAAAGACCCCCACTCCAAGTTTCAAAAAGATTGGACCAGGGGGTCCAATTCTATGGCCCCCAAAGAAAGGGCCCCCATCCTCCATTATTTCCAATGGAGAGAAAAAACAGGGACTGATGTCAAACCAGAGAGTCTCTGCAGTAGAAACTGAAGGTTTTTACAGAACCAGTGCCACTGTGGCAACGCCAGCTCACCAAATCCAAGCAAGGGGGGGGGGGTTTCCAAGCAGTGTTCCCTCTAAGCTGGGTTCATGTGAGCCAGCTCACAGTTTTTTAACCTCTACCTCACACATTTTTGTCTTTGCTCAGGAAGTATGGCTCCAGAGCAAACTAACTTTTGCGGTGGCCAAATCATTCACTCACAACTTTAATGCCAGTAGCTCACAAAGTAGAATTTTTGCTCACAAGACTCCACAACTTAGAAGGAACATTGGTTCCAAGCCCAGCATAGACAGTGCATTATAGAAGAAGAAGAAGAGAAGAGATTGGATTTATACTCCGCCCTTCACTACCCAAAGGATAGCGGCTTACAAGCGCCTCTCCCTTCCCCTCCCCACAACAGACACCCTGTGATGTGGGTGGGGCTGAGAGAGCGCTGACAGAAACGGCTCTTTTTCAAGAACAGCTGTGCCAGAACTATGGCTTGCCCAAGGTCATCCAGCAGGTGCAAGTGGAGGAGCGGGGAATCAAACCCGGTGCTCCCAGATTAGAGTCCACGCACAACCACTACACCAAACTGGTTCTAGTGCCCACCGAAACCCAGTGCCTTCCCCTAAATGCTTTTTTTCCCTCCATTGAAAACAATGGAGGATGGGGGCACTTTCTCTGGGCACTCTGTACATGCACTGGTTCTGCTGGGCATTCTGTAGATGGGCTGGCTGTGTTGGGCTTGCAAACCCCACTTGCTTGGATTTGTTGAGCTGGCATTGCCACAGTGACACTGAATCTGCTGGGCACTCTGTACATGCACTGTCTGTGCTGTGCTTGCATCCCCCCTCACTTGGATCTGTTGAAATGGCATTGCCACAGTGGCACTGGTTCTGCTGAGTGCTCTGTACATGCTCTGGTTCTGCTGAGCACTCTCTACATGCCCTGGTTCTGCTGGGCTTGGAAATATTGCCCCCGCCTTCAGTTTCGACTGCAGAGACTCTCTCATTTGACATCAGTCCCTTTTTTTGCTGATTTCCCCCCACCATTGGAAACAATGGAGGATGGGGGCGCTTTCTTTGGGGGCCCGTAGAATTGGATCCCCTGGTCCCATCTTTTTGAAACTTGGGGGGGGGGTGTCTTTTGAGGAAAGGCACCAGAAGCTACGCTGAAATTTTGATGACCCTATCTCAAAAAACAGCCCACCCAGACCCATGGATACGCCCAGATAGATTCCCCACTGACTGTAATGATCTCATAGTGCATAATGGAGCCCAAAAAATTGGGATTTCTGAAAAAAACTGAATTCGAATACCATACCGGTACTGGAATTTGGGGTTTGGGGGGGGGAAATCCTGAGTTTTTGGGGGTCCAATCCCAATTTTTGTGTGTGTGCACACACCCCTTGTTGGGAGACCACAGGGCCGTGGCTGAATGGCTAAACTCCGATGCTCCCTCTAAGCTGTGGAGTCTTGTGAGCAAAAACCCTACTTTGTGAGCTCCAGACATTAAAGTTGTGAGCGAGCGACTGGGCTGCTGCATCAATTAACTTGTTCTGGAGCCCTCCTTCCTGAGCCAAGACAAAAATGTGTGAGGCAGAGGCTAAAAAACTGTGAGCTAGCTCACACCAGCTCAGCTTAGAGGGAACACTGCTAAGCTCCTGCTTGGTGTGCAGAGGACCCCCTGGGGTTCGGCCCACAGGTCTCCAGCAGCAGCAGCAGCCGCCGCCTCCGGGAAAGGCCCATCTCTGCCCTGCCCCTCCGAGGAGGGAGTCCTGGGCTAGACGGGCCACGGGAAGGCCCTGCTGCACGGCCGCGGCGGGGCTCCCGCTCCTGCCTCCAAAGGCCTCCCGGGGTGGGCACTGCTGGCCTCCTCCTGAGAGAACCTCTACCAGGGCTGGCCGAGCCACCGACTTTGTTGCTTGCAAAAGAAAGCGGAACAGGCTGGAGAGGGATGGCCCCTGCGAGTGAGGAGCAGGGTCGGCCACCCAGGGACACCACTGGGGACCCTCTTGCTTGCCTGGGCTGGCAAAGGCTCCCCAAGAGAGCTGCTCACTCAGCCGGAGCCCCTCGAACTGGAGAGGGCAGGGGACCCTGCCGAGGACCACCTCTGTGCCTGCAGGGGCACCAGGAGTATTGTCCTGAGAGGTGGCGGGTGCGGCAACCAAGCAGGAGATGCCGCAGAGTGACTCCTGCGGGTAGAAAAGTGCCAGAGTGGCCGGCCTCGGAGCGCTGCGCTTGACACGCCTCCCCCAGTCCTCCCAGCCCCTCTGAGGGCCTCACCTGCAGCCTCTCCATGGCCTCCTCCGTGCAGATAATCTGGTCCTCCACGCAGGAGTAGGGCTCCAGCTCCCCATTGAGGGCGAGGGGCAATTCAGCCGTGGGCGCAAAAGGGGAGGGGGGAAGGCTGGATCCACCTCCCGGGTCATCGGGCTTCGAACCTGAAAGGCACCCAAGAGTCAGGAGCCGCGCCCGTCTCCCCTCCGGCCCTAGGGGAGGAGGCAGTTCCCTGAGGAAACCGAACCCAACACCTCCCAGCCTGGGGGGGGGGGGTTTGAGATGGGGAGAGACCTCCCCACAGTCTTGGCTCCTTGCTTGCTGGAATAGAACAGGCTCTTAATTGGGGGCTTTTAAAATTAATTCAAAACATTTATTAGCCACCTTTCTACCTTGCGGCGCTCAAGGCAGCTTACAACGTAAATAAAACAACAACTATGAAACACATACAAGACAACAGTTTAAAATCTCAGGACTGTCCATAAACAAAGTCTGAATTAGTCAAATGTAGTCCTAAGTGAAACCATCTCCAGCTGCCTCCTGAGGAGCAAAAGTCAGAGAGCCAAGCGCACCTCCCCAGGGAGGCCGTCCCGTCATCGTGGGGCTGCCACTGAGAAGGCCCTCTTGTGCCCCCCCAGAACAAACCCTCAGCCCTTGGCCGTACGAAGTAAGGAGGGAGGGCCCCTGAGCATGCCCTGCAGGGTCTACCCGCAAAGGTGGTGGCTGACAAGCCCTGGGCAGAGAGGAGGTCCCGCAGTCTGGCCACTTCCTCCTTGAGCTCCCGGATGAGCCGGGCGTTGGGATCCTCGTTGATGACCGCGTTGCAGCGGATCTGCTTGGCCCGGTCGGCGTACCTGGGGGAGAGCAGGAGGGCCCGAGGAAGGGGTGTCAAGGACCAGGCCGCCTTCTGCCACGCCAGGTCATGAGCCTCCTCCCCCCTGCCCCCCCCGTTCCCGGAGGCACCCCCCTCTCCCCTGCCT